TTGAGGAACCATGCTACTACTGTTGTGGGAGTTTCTCTAACCGACAATCATCACTTAATAGCTATAGTGATGATACAACACTTTACCTCGCGCTGCCAATTGCCATCCTATACCTTGCCATCAGTATAGGACCTAACTTAACTTAGTGGATCGATTAGTTTATGCGAAAAGGATTCATCTAAAGTATGACCCTTTTATACCCATGATGGCTACGTGGTTTATGGAGACTTGAGTTAATGTGAACTCGCATCCCCATATCGGTGCTCAATACTACTCCCAAAAATATAATATTAGCTCTTATGTTTAAAAACATACTTCTTCTGTGATTTGAGATTAGTGCTCAAAAACTTAGCTTAAAGGCTATCTTGGAAATCTCAGTTTCCATGCTTACTTCATTTAGAAAGCTATTAATCTTTTATGAAAACTAGCCCGAAGGTCCTTTGGAAATCTAAGTTTCCGTTCTTATTTAAATGTGAAAACATTTTAAATCTCTTTGGGAAATACTTAGTCCCCATATGTTTCTTTGAAGAAAAGAACTTCAACTTTACTCTTTACTGAACTCAAAACTTAAGTCTTAAAACAAAGTTAAAACATTTGTGAAAGACTTTTTGAAAACTTTAAGAACTTATCTTAACTTGACTCTTGACTTCTCTTGACTTTGATCTTTAACTGATCTTGACTTGACTCTTAACTGATCTTGACTTGACTCTTAACTGATCCTAACTTGACTCTTAACTGATCCTTGAATAAGATTCAAGGATTAAGATTTGTGATCGGGAAGATCTCATGATGTTTAAGAATAACTTTGAATAGCTAAACCTGAGAAAAGTTACGAAATCTCCGTCTTGGAACAAGTCCGCGACACGGAGACGTTTCTGAATAAATGCTCGCGAAATTAATTTTTGATACAGAGGAGTCTGCGTCCTAACTGCGACGCGAAGACAATTTTTCTTCACTGGGGAGCAAGTCTGCGACGCGGACCTGCGTGCCAGAACCTGCTCGACTATTCCTTCTTCATTTTCCAGCCCCAAATCGCCTAAACTCGATTATAGAACTCAAATTCATTTTAGATCCCGATACCCAGCATATGTATTCAAGAACCTAACTCAATACAACCCTAAAACTCAACGTAAAGATCTCAGAAACTCCTCAATTCATCCCAATTCAAGAACAACATTCAAATTCAAGAATACATGTCAAGAACATCAACTTTCAAACTCTTTTAGGACGAGTTTCGCTGAACTAAACATGTTTGGCGCGTGGGTGAATGAATCCAATGCTATGAGAGACTCACATACCTTGTAGGATCAATTCTTTGGCGAATCCACGACCAAAATCGATCATTCTTGGCGAATCTTGCTTTTCTTCTTCTCCTTTCTCTTGCGTTCTTTCTCCAAAAACTCTAACTCTAATTTTCAAAAGCGTAAACTGCACTAACTCAGTCTTGACCCCAATTATCTTACTAAAAATGGGTTTAATCAATAGGGCAGTGAAACAACTAAAATACCCCTTAAAAATTCGGATTGAACATTTTCTTAATCCAACAACCCAATTTCCAAAGGGCATAACTTACTCATACAAACTTGGAATCGCGCAAACTCAGCGGCGTTGAAAAGATTATTCCACGAGCTTTCCAACCATATCTGGAATTACACCTAAATCATTCTGAGATATGAGTTATGGCCATTTGAAGTTGACCAAAAACTCACTTTAACACCTTTACCAATTTCCAGATTTTTAAATTCTTCCCAAAAATGACTATTTCCAGATTTTAAACTTCCTTCTAGTTCTTTCTAGTTGCGAGATATTACATATTCAATGTCTAATTTATAGAACATCTACTAAATAAGATTCCAAATATTTTTTATTCCAAACATTCAACATACAACAAATCAAAACAATTCAATCATTCACTGTTTGTATGTCAAACATATTACAGATTAAAAAATGTTTTTTTTTTACTTTGAAATATAGCTGGTTATTATGTACTTTCATCTCGTTTGGGTCTTGGATGTGAGAAAGATGCAAAAATACTTCAATTCATTGAAGAGTTAACTAGAATTGTGATATCGTCCAACAAAGTGTCTTGGATGAAATATTGACTCGAAACTCCCAAATTGAATACCTCAGTGACCATCTAACCTTTAAAATCCAATATTCGGATATTAACTTATGAAAATCTTCAGGTGAAGGTCCAACATACAAAATACGATCCAAATCCATTGTCGTATCACTTTTTCAATAGCCATTTTCAAATCACTTCCAAACAAATTATAGAATTAACAACTAATGAATACCTGATCGTTTTTTTATCTCACCGACAATCTCGAAGTTCAACGAAATCAATCGAATTCACTTCGAAATCCCAATAGATTATTTCAAAATTTTCTTCCCTAATGAAAACAAAAGCAAATCAGTCTAATTCACTTCGACAAAGGTTAAAAATCTTTTGAATGATTTATGAGATTTCTTAGAAAAATGGAGGAATTTGATTTTAAAAAGGCAAGATTTAAGTTACTTGAGGATATAGAATAATGGAAGATCATGAGTGAGAGAAAGAGAAAGGATAGAATTTAGGTAAAAAATTTAGAGAGAGAAAAGTGGGTAATAGGGTCTTTTGTTTTTTCTTTCACACGTAATGAAGTCAAAAAGTGGGCCCATTTTGAGAAATAAAAGGAAGGTAAATGAATTATATTAGGATACACTTTATTTGTAACATATTGATATTTTAAATAATTATTTTAAAGTGTAGATCTTTTTAATAATTATGTTAGAAATTTTGACTAGTTAGCTAATTTATTCAACAAAAAATGTCTAAAGTCAACTTTGATAA